TAGGAGACACCAACTTAATACAAAAACTGGGATTCGGTTCTAAAAAGAGAAAAACTTGGTGTTTGAATGGAGTTTTTTCAATTTTTCAAATCAGCCATTGCTAGCCACGAATTTAACACTGGTTTCATCAGCCGACGACTGTCCCATTTGTTTTAAATAATCAAATATTTTAAGGCTTTGTGTTTAAGTGCAGTTTTATGTAAAGGCAACCGTTTCTTATTCATATCTTCTATCCATAATATTAGCGCTTGTTCCATTTTTTCCATTATAGGTGCTCTCCGACGAGCAACATTTTTCGCAAGAATAGATGATCCGGATGCGACCAAATTTCTGATCTTTTCTCCCGACCGAATCGTCGACTCATTTAAATTAAAATGCCTACCGATATCAGCTATCTGCTCTTGATATTTAATTCGATCCAAAATTTCTATTTTTGTTTGAAGAGTTATAAATTTCCCTTTTAACGACGGTCCTTTCTTTTCATTCGGCATGTTATGGCTAAAATTTTTTCAATCAGTTTTGTGGACAGTAAAAATCGCAAAAAATAACTTCCTTTCACTATGTTGTTAAAAATATACACCCAATAGAAGTTTATACTGTATTTTGGACTATTTCCGCGGTCCCCACTTATTGAAAGAGTATAAATGATCGAAAATTTAGTGATATATTTGAGTGTTTACGGTAACTGATTCACATCTGTCTAGAAACCGGTCTTTCCCTGAAACTTTCAAGGGAATAACATGCCAACGTCCACAAACAGCTGTTTTCAAAGACTTCTAGCTCAATATGCCGAACTGCGGCTCGTATCACGTGATCCGTTGCGATTTTTCTGTTATGTGAAGATAATTCGTTTCTAAATACCGTAAACCGCGTTGTAAAAGTACCGTGTTGTAAAAAAATTTTCGCATTTTTCCAACCGCGTTAAAGCGAAAACGCGTTGTAAAGGTACCGCGTTGTAGGAGGCCTACCTGTACTTGTGTGCCTCTGCACTTATCTAACATAATGTTGTTAGAACTCGTATCTCAAAATATAATTCCTATTCAAAATAGAAGCGTATTTTCTCATTCTTCACACATTTACAGAATAATTAAGCAAATAAATCTATAGAATATAATCACCATTGCAATGAATATATATAATTCATAAACAATTCGAGCAGCAAACACTCTCTTTCAAAGACCGATTCTCTTTTAAGAAATTGGTTATTATTATTTACTTAATTATAACAAATATTTTCGATTCGATTATGTATGAGACTGTGTTTAGTATCAAAAATCCAGTTTTTGAAGACCTTTTTAAACTGATTTTTAATATTGACAAATGGAAGTAGGTTCTAATAAATTAATTTAACACTATGAATAATGAATTTTCTTCGTCAACCATATTTTGGATGAATAATAATAATAATGATGATTTCATTTATTAAACACAATACCGTTTATTATAATTAATATCCCTTTTGCTTTTATTAATAACAATGCAAAAAAATGTATCTTTAAAACTGTAAATAATTCTTGAAAAATTTCAGTTTTCATACTAGAAATAAAATTTCAGATATTTAATCACGTGATTTAACACGAAATGTAATTTCATAACAATAAACTACAACAATTGCTAACAATACGCTGCATTTAACAATATTCTATTGTTTAAATAGCTTTGCGAAAATTATGCGCTGTGTTCGAAAGTTCTTATTGCGAATGTGGAGTGAGAGAGAGAGGAGAAAAAAGTATATAAATTCCTCCATTAATTACATTTATAATGGCCATTTATTTATTATCAATTACGAAATAATCGAATTTCTTTACAGGAGAGAAGAAAAGGCTGAACCAAATGGTCAGCAGGATAAAAATTATCCCATAAATGTAAGTCATTACTCTCTCTCTCTACGAAAATCAAAGTTATTTCTTAAGTTAATAACGATTTTTTTATGATTTTATAAATAATTTTTCGATAATGCCACACGCAACAACAATTTTTATTTTTCACTTTTCTTAGATTGACGACAATTTTCTTGAAACGAAGTGTCACACCTTTAAGAAAAAGGAGACACAATTCCAAGAAAAGATACCCAAGAAAAAGGGAAAATTTACAGAATTCTGCAGAAATGCATTCTGTAAATTCTTTTGTTGTATGTCAAAGGAGATTTCCGATTCTCAAGTAAGACGTCGTTTCTTTCTGTCGCCCTTCAATTAACAAATTATACAAATGAAAAACTTCACCATTCTAGAAATGCCAATTGGTAAATAATCTCGAAAAAGATTCTGAACTTGAATTTGAAAAATATAATCAAAATGTTATTGAGGATTTTGAATTTAAAGAAATTGGAAAAGGCAATTTCGGAACCGTTTATTCGGTTCTATGTAAAACGTCCAATGAACGAGTGGCCATAAAAACAATACAGAAGAAGCGCTTTTGTCTTCAACAAGTACGTTCTTAGCATTATTTCCTATATCCTTTACTTTCTCGTGGAGAAAAAATAAATACCCGAAGTTAATAAAGTTGATCCAATTCAATAATAAACTATTTTATGATATTAACACAAAATATTTATTTTACCTTTTAAAATCACATTAATACTTTCAAAACTATACGTATTTATGTCGCACGAGGAAAACAGAAATCGATACTATATCGACATTAATTAGAAATGTCTACAGTATATTCTTCATTTGTATTTAGTATATATTAAAAACAATTTCTTTATTTACAGAGAGGCGAAATAAAGAGAGAACAAGAAGCATGGGCATCCTCATCCAGCCATCCCCACATTGTTACTTTATTCGGTTGCTTCAAAACAAATACGAGGTAAATTTTAACCCTTTACATTTGAATTATTGCTAATACTTTATGGTTGTATGGAGTAATAATTCTCTATTTTAGTTTCTGTTTCGTCTCGGACTACGTGGACGGACAGGACTTGACTAATTATTTAGAAACTAATGGACGTTTTCGAGAAATCCAAGCAAAATTGATTGCTTCGCAAGTGGCTTCGGCCATTATGTTTATTCATAATAAAGGTGACTTTTTAAATCTATTTATTCATTCGTTTCGTCGACTAATGGGAGAGTATGATAAAATTTCTTTCTATCTTTGACAGGAATAATTCATAGAGACATAAGCTCCAGTAACATCATGCTTGATAAGACCAAAGGAGCACAATTAATCGATTTCGGTCTCTGCACAGTAAGTAGTGCATAATACAATATCCTAATTTTGGTTAAACTAGAGAATTCTTATTGATCGATTTTCTTTCTGTCAGTTTGAACGAAACCCGAAACAATTTTGCGGGACTTTATTCTATGTTTGCCCAGAAATTCTTCAGGGAAAGTCATATGGTAAGGTGTTCTATTCGAATTTAATCGTTTCATTTTGTTTACACTCGTGTAATCAATATATTATTTTTAGATGCTTACTGCGATTGGTGGTCATTTGGAACCGTATTATATCAAATGTTAATCGGAAGCACCCCAATGGACATATACCTTGAAAAAATGAAGGTCGACATCAATTCATTATCCATTACCGACATGATAAACAGTAAGCCAGTATAATTTTGAATTTATCCACAATAAAAGAACAATGATAAATATAAAAATGCCTTTTCAGTTGCCCAAAACATGGAGTTAGTGTATCCGACTCATTTGCTACTGTCGATGGATTCAACGCTCATAATCGAGGATTTGCTACAGAAAGTAAGATTATATTTCATTTTACTTAACTTATTGAGTTTCGTCGTGCGACAGTTCATGTTTACGATACTTCTCATCACGCCTGAAGTATTAAGTATTACATAGGCCTTTTATGAGAGAATTTCATAAATTTTATACACTTAATAAGAGAAACGTTCGTTCGTTTATTAACACAAATTAACTCATTTTCTACGATAAGTTGTGAATGTATTTGCAATTATTTAATCGTGTTAAATAATTTTTTTTTTCTATTGACTTATTAATGGTTATTTTATTGCATTTACTTAGAGATAAAAATATTTCTCGAGTAATATTACCGCAGCTAATTATTGTTTTTGATCATTTTAGGATCCAAATAAACGTCTTTCGGAAACGGACATCAGTAAACACATGTATTTTGATGGTGTCCCGTGGCCAGAATTAGTCCAGACTTGACTGATCAATGAATATATTCAAAAGCAATTCTTTCATAGAATTTGTTATTTGATTTTGTTAATTTTACTTATAATTAATTTACATTTAATTTTATGTTTGAATAGNCGGTAAATAATAAACATACTGGTAACTTGAAATCCTGGTGTTCCTCCGGTGTAAGACCATTTAAAAATAAGCAAACAGAATGAAATGCTAGGGATTTTCATCTTACACTAACCAGTTTTACCATTATTCTACGACTTTAATATCTCGAATGAAACACTTTTTCACTTATTTTTTTTTCACGTTACGATGTGGACAAAAGTACATTGAACTTAGTAATATACGACCCTTTTAACCCACAACTATGGATTACATAGAATTAGATAACCTAATAAATAGGATTTAACAATTTGGAGCGCTTATCACACCAAGGCAGACAAAAAGAGGGACTGGATGTTTTACAAAACAAAAGTTAGTCTTTAATTAATAATCACATTTGAAATTTAGGTAAGGATGCATTTTGTGTACAGGGACCTGTCATTAGCTTACAAACACATGGTACCAACATAATAATTATAACACCAATAGTTAACCAATACAAAGGAATATCTAATATGTACAGTGCACTGTATTTACAATTTTTAACATAACTCATATACAGTATACAGTTTTGTTAAGTACAATTTAAAAATAAAATGTCGGATTAACTCAAATCCGTCTTTAATTTTAGGTTAAATTTGTATATTTAAGATTTTTCTATAATCTAAAGTTATCTAGATTAGTAGAGTTACTATAATAAATAAATAAATTGTTATGCTCTATTTATANTTTTTTCAACTTTTTCTGTAATATTTTTGCACATTTCGTAAGAAATTTCTTCAAATAGGATCGTGTGCAAGTTTTTTAACTATATGTGATGTATTAGTGCATATTTTTGTGATTTCATCTGAAGTGATGCAACATGCGTATCTGTTGTCAAATTTTTTGGCGACAAATGTAAAGTTTGTTCGACTCTTGCGCCTATTTCGTACTCGAGGCAACTTCTTTACTAAGTTTCTGATTTGAAAAATAACCGCAAAAGTTCAAAACAAATTAAAACTTAATTGTCTTTAATTTTAGAACAACATGTCGAAAAGAAAATATAATTCTTGGAGTAAACAAAATATGAAAGAAGCGATTAAAAAATATAATGACAAGACCTTATAATTTAACGAAGTTTGTAGTGTATATAATGTACCATAATTGACATTTAGACGATAGTTACAAGGACTGAATATACATCAATGAATAGACTAGATAGGTCATTTTTTAAATCACTAAAACTGAATTTTAGTGCTACTTGCGCATCGTGGATGCAAACCATCCTGGTTCCTTAATAAAGCATATCCTCGAGCCGTTTGTATGGACACAAGCATGCATGGCTTCGAATCTTGCGGATTGTGGCCTCGCAATCGCTTTAAGATCGGGGATGAGGAATACGTCGTTCTTGACGAAGATGCTAATCTAAGTGAAACGGCGGAAGTCTCCCAGGATCTGGCAACTGAAAGGCAGCAAGAACAAACAGATACTTTAACGTGTGTGGCAAAATCCAATCAGACTACTGAGCAAGAACAGACTGAAAAAGTTGAGTACCCACAACTTTCTGAAGTACCGACAACTCACCCTCCGGAAAAACAGCAAGATCAATGTCTGGAAGAGAAAGCGAAGGAATGTTCTTTAGGTATGAAAGTAAACATTTCTAATACAGAGACAGTTCGAGCGACATTTGAAATAATATCTCCACTACGTGGTATTCTTGGAATTGCAAAAAGGAAAACGTATGAAAGAATCATGGTGCGACGAAAAGTAAAACTACTAAAATATCACAAAAAAAATTATAAAAAAAACAGGAAGATGAAAATAACAGTTGGTACTGTAAATTATGCCAAGAAGACGTAAAAGAAAATATGATCAAATGCACACAATGTGAGATATGGGTACATGAACTTTGCGCAGGAACCAATAAAAAGACAACGGATTACAACTGCGATGACTGCCAAAAATTGGCGAAGACCAGCTGCCGAATTTGCTAAGAGTTAATATACACACGTATTAATACATTATTGATAAAGATTTTTATTCTTAAGACTGCAAACCAATGATAGGATCTCAAAGTACGATTTAAGACGAATGTTCCTAAATCGTACTTTTTTAGTGTTTTTTTAAATTGTTTATTTCTCAGAATTGTTTATTCTCCAAATAAAAGTTACTTAAAATAAAAAATAATTTGTGTTTATTAATTTCGATAATATGATAGTTTTTCCTTAAGTGATACGAATTAGGCAAGTTTACCCTATAACAAGTGTAAAATAGAGCATATCAATTTATTTATTTATTTATTATAGTAACATTTCCTATACGAATCTATATAATTTTGAATTATTGGAAAATGTTAAATTTATAAATTTATCCTAGAATTGATATTTCGTAATTTATAATTTCAGGAAAATTATTAAAGATTTATTTGGGTTAGTCTGACATTCTATTTTTCACCTGTAAATTTTGTGTTTGGTAACGTTAGTAATTATTGAATCATTCTTTAGGAATTTAAACGAGGACATTTTACTTTAAATTAATAAATCAGAGGCAATGTTACGATGTACACAAGTTCAATGTACTTGTTTACATTGTAACGTGAAAAAAATAAGTGAAAAAGTGTTTCATTCGAGACATTAAAGTCGTGGAATAATAGTAAAACTGATTAATCTAAGATGAAAGTCGCCAGAATCTTATTCTGTTTGCTTATTGTTAAATGGTCTTACTCCGGAGGAACACCACAATTTCAAGTTACCAGTAAGTTTATTATTTATCATTTACCTTAATTTAAATTGTTTAGATAAATATATGTTAAAATAGCTGAAATAAATATTAAAATATTAAGTTATTCTTCTTCTTGTGTCGATTCCGGCCATCTTTGGACCACGTACAAACAACTAATTATGACTTGCTTTTCCCTCTTCCCTTCCCTTTGTTCTTCTTCCTTTCTTTCCAATACCTCTTCATTCTCTCGCTCTGCTGTTGTCTTTGCTCCTGAGTGAAGAGTCTTCCACGTCTGTTATTTTCCTTTTCCTGAAAACCCTTGAAGTTCTTTATTTTGTTTCTAAACCTTTCCCTGTTCTGGATATCTTCTTCCAATATGCCCATTTCTGCCATGTCTTTTTGAGTGTCATTGATCCATTGATTCTTATTCTTTAGGTTGTTGAAATACATAAAAATTTGTTTCGTTAGCCTATTTTCCCCCATTCTCTTTATATGCCCAAAGAAGCTTACTCGCCTTCTCCGAATTGTATCCGAGAGTCTTGGGATTTTTTGATAAAGCTCTTTATTGCTCCTTAGCACGTAGTTACCATGTTCATCTATTTTTGGCCCCAGAATTTTCCGAAGGATCTTCCTCTCTTTTTTCTCCATATTTTCTATTTCTCCCATTTTAAGAGTAGCAATACCTTCTGCTGCATAAAGTGCTTGCGGTTTTATCACTGCGTTATAATGTCTAATTTTTGCATTAATGGAGATTGATTTTTTGTTGTAAATGTCTTTGGAAAGTTGATAGGCAATTTCCAACTTCCGTGTCCTGGCACAATTTGCTGCTTTAGACAACCCATTTGTTTCAATAATTTCTCCAAGATATTTAAATTTTGATACTTTGTTAATTAAGTTATTCTATTATATTTTTTTATTGTTTTCGAGAGGAAATCAAAAATTTAGAGTTATAAAAATTACTTAACTCATTGTTTCTTTAATTATTTTAATATAAGTATGTAATAAATTAGTTAAAATGCTTACTGTTAAGTGGTGATTTCATGTTGTATGTGTGTTAAATGGTTATTCTCAAGAGGATCTCCAGGATGAAGAATTACACACATGTTTATTTTACTGTATTATTTAATATTAGATTAAAAATACTTAATTAAATCAAAATAATTAAATAATTAAAATTCCTAACTTGTTTTGTACCGTCCTCAAATCTTGCAATTGAAACTTCATCCACCCCTAAAACTTTGTGGACATCTAAACTGAATGACAACACAGTTTAATGAAGTTACTCCACCACACCATCCTCCCTATACCGAGACCCGAAAAGAATAACCAAAAAGTACAATTTAATCATGTGTGCGAGTAAATTTATTGTATTGATTATACAGGAGGATGCTCATTATATCTAAAAAAAGTGAAATAAAAGGAATTTATTATATGAAAAGAAATTTTTATATTTTTATAGTCTCCATTGGGAAAAGAGTTCGGTGTCCGAGGAACTTGGGATGCTTTGGAACGGGACCTCCTTTCGCCCAACCTAAAAGACGTCCGATCAGCTACTTACCCAACAGCAGAGAGTTTATCAGAACCAAATTCCTTCTGTATACCCGTCGAGATCCTTGGTTTAACGAGATTTTGATACCCGATCAAATAGAAACCATCGAGATTTCGAAATTTAACTCCCAATTGCCAACTAAAGTTATAATTCATGGGTATGTGGATAGCACCCTTCTAACCACTTGGATGAAGGTAAATTAGTTTCTAGCATTATTAAAAGTGCAGTTTTTCCGTTCAGTTTAACAGGCGACGTTCTTTTAGAGGTTGACACGCGTACTATTTTCTGTCGGAGATTATAACGTGATTATTGTGGATTGGTTTATAGGAAGCACATTCTCATCGTACATCCAAGCGGTGGCTAATGCAAGAGTAGTGGGAGCAGAAATTGCATTTCTTATGGAACGTCTTCAGGTAATCTCTGGACACACCGGTTGTAAAGAAAATTTGCTTTATTAAGAATGTTATTTGTCTTGCAGCTCGTTAAGAGGGCTAAATTAAAGGATTTTCATCTGATCTGCCACAGTTTAGGAGCACACGTTTGTGGATATGCGGGCAAACGACTGAGTGATCTCGGAAGGATAACGGGTAATTTGAGCCTCACTGTTTGCTAAATTTTCTGTAAAACATTAACAATTAGCGTGATATCTTCAGGTTTGGATCCGGCAGGTCCTTATTTTCATAACGTTTCTCGTCACGTTCGATTAGATGCTTCGGACGCAATGTTTGTCGATATTATTCATACGAATGCAGCTGAATCAATATTTAAAGGTAGGTGTTTTAAATAAAAGTATTTCCTGCATAAATTTTTAAGGAAAATTTAAAATATGGGCTTATTTTAGAATTTGCTGAGTAAAGTTCGCGTCGTGCACATTCTTTTAGAATAAATGTGACATATTTATTCAAAAGCTCAATACAAAATTACATATATTTGTAACTTCGTAGATCAAGCATGAAGTACAGAACGATTACAACTGCTTCTGACCGGTTACTTCCCCTCTCTAACTTATGATCATGAAAGCATATTGCAAGAAAAACAAAACTTTACGTTATATACTTTCTTAATTACAGATATATTTATTAATATACAGTACACAGGCCAGCGTACTTCTGTGGGATGAAAGATAACATATTCTAGACACACAACCCAGAAAAAATTCCCAGTCTGTATCAAACTATTCGGAGTCAATTTCGAATCCTCTGGAGTGGTATACTGGTGCTTTATCTGCCTCGTCGATGTGTGTTTAGGATAGCTACTTTTTGTACTTTGACGTACAGTACGTCAAATTATTAGAGAGGTTGAGGCAGACGTTTTAAACGTGTAAACGTGTAGGACGGACGTTCGGTGCCGCTTTCCCGTAAGCCTAGAAGTTTGACGATGGTGTTTGGAATGTCGAGCGTGATTCCACCGACTATCCAAACACAATTGTCAAACTTTTAGGCTTACGGGAAAGCGGCGCCGAACGTCCGACTTACACGTTTACACGTTTAAAACGTCTGCCTCAACCTCTCTATTAATTTTGAAGACACTTTGGTCTTGCGTGTTTGATATGACTCCTGTGATATGAGAAATTCCCCCATGCGGGAGAGAGGGAGAAAATTAAGTAGGCCTATTATCCTGAAGAACTCAGCTTCTACTGTTCAATTTTAGATGCGGCTATATAACTATAAATGTTATCTTATGTAAGAGTTTATCACACCGAATGATTAATCTAACACGTTTAAAAAAAAGAGTCTTTATTCCTCTATTGTACACAATTAAAAAATATTTTTCAATGTGTTAGATTGGGTACTCGGTGTGATTAACTATTACGTAAGATAACCTTTGAAAATCAAATACTATAATATAATATAGTAGAATGGTTAGAAGTACAGAATAATCTGATAAACTTAATCTTTGCTGCTGTTATTTATTCCCCGAGCAACGCCGGGTTCTTCTGCTAGTATTTAATAAATTTGTTGTATGCACGTAGTAATTTGTATGTGTACGCAAGCTTTACACATATGGTACAACGTGGGCAATTCGGTTGTTTTCTAGTTCGACATGTTCAGTAATCCAAAATTGGATTATTCTCTGGTATTTGCACCGTTTCATAGAACTTGGCAACAGTTCTTTCACTAAACAAGGCATGATTGTTAAGCTCATCAATGTAGGATGCAGAAAACTGGTTCAATATCTTATAACACAATATTTTATAAATATAAAAATCAGTCCACCAGATTTTCTACGATGGCCTCTATTTTCCGCTAAGTTTAGTGGAAATACAACTTGGCAACACTTGGATATTTTTATCAGTAAGTAAAGTGTATAGTGTTTTGCTGCATCATTAATAGTTGACTCCACGCTGTCAAATTCGTTTATGTGCCATTGAATTTACCTTATTTTCAATTCTCCTTAATCAGACATTAGAACAAGGTCAAATTACCGAAATTGTAGTATATTACGTTTGTTATTTAGTTATTTAGTTATATCAATGTAACTAATTTTAAGAATTCTATTCTAATAATGGCGGTTTTTATCTTTCTCAGATAAACAGTGGAAATTATCCTTAAGTATTTGAGTAAAGCACGATTTGTCTTCGATATTTTATGACTATTTAAAAATATTTTTTAGGTCTAGGTACGAATGAAATGATTGGCCATGTCGACTTCTTTCCTAATGGAGGTCACAATAATCCCGGATGTAAAACTCTGCGCGAAAAGAAAAAATCTAGAACCTTCTTAGAATGTAAGTAAATAATTCTTAACGGGGTTTTCGTTGTGTTTACTAAGTACAGTTCCTATGGTATATGGCTAGGCCCATCTAGAATGTTATCTCGCAATTCACGTGCTACGTATCTCAATTCGGATCAGGATCTGAATGTAGTGTGTATAATTAGACTAAAATTAGTCATTTACCAACATAAAGTAATGGGTGTTGAAACAAGCAGAAATTCAAGCCATTTTGTAATAAAAAACTGTGATGATTAAAATAGGAATCAAACTCAAATTCGTCATTTACAATAGAAGAATACGTAACTGTTGTCCAAAGAATATAGATTTTCATCTTGATTATAAAGCAAAATATTTCAGGTAGGCAGATTTATATATTGCAGTAGAAATTCGCTAATCCTGTCGGGGACTACTTTATTTTTAACCGTTTCTGCTAAGTGCGCCTTTTGAAATCATAACCATAGTGAGTTTGGACCACATATCAGTCCCACATTGGGTGGCGACCGTGTGGTGAGGGACGACCCGCATACTTCCCATTAAAAGTATAATAGATATTCTAACTCTCTCATTTCCATCTCAAGACTCCCAAAGCGTAGAATGAACCCATAACCGCCCGGGCATTCATATGTCGGATCCAATGGAACTAGAGTGGTGCAGGATTATCGAAAATGCCGATTTACGCACGTTTTTATATTTTGGCTAAATTCGATGTCGTAAGAGCTCTGATATTACTGTACATTTTATTGGAATATGTCGAGTGGATAAAATCGTTGAACACTGGTAATTGGTGACAAGTACGCGCGCAGGTCACGTAGTGTTTTATGAGTTAAATTAGGGCCAGTTTGCCATAGATAATCTTCAATGGAAGCACACTTTCCTTGGTGGGTCTCTCATCTACATCATTGTATTAATCAACAATTCCAAGAATTGTTAAAATGTAACAGTATTTTGCTATTCCATTTATAAGTTTTGTATATTTTTCTTTTAAGCACTGTATATTAAATATCAGATTTTTTTCCTTACATTTTCAGTCATCAGACCTCAATTAGAATGCGATCATAGACGTGCCATAGAGTTTTTCATCGCATCCATTAAATACCCGGAATGCTTCGTTGCTGTTTCATGTCGCAGTTATTTGGATTTTGCAGCAGGAAGATGCAGTTGCTCCGACGAAACACCTTGCGCTTTCATGGGATTTTATGCAGATCAGTTCGAACATCTCATAAGGAATACGTCTGGCATCTTTTATCTAGATACTAGTAGTGATTATCCTTACTGTGCTAAAAATAGACTTATTTTCAATTATAAAATAAAAACTCGGTCACTTAAAAACCATTAATAATGGAATTTCACTACCATAGAAAAAGGCTATGAAATTATTTAGTCTCTGTATTATTTTTCTTTAATTATTTCTGTTTTAAGAATATGTTATTCATGATATATTAATTATAAAACCATATATTTTCTTATGTATTTTCGTTATTATGGAAGAATTGCTGTTTTTAAAGTAAATTACGCATATCTTGTAAAAATTAACAAGCTAATAGTGTGTATATTACTTTCTTTCAGTAGAAATAAACCTACAGATGACAAGGTAACATTTTTCGTCTTTTCGTTTTACTCAACGAGCTGGAATATATTACATATATTAACTGTGACCTTAGATACAGCGCTTTTGGTGGCAACGATGGATACTATCGACCGCCATTTTACTTTTAGTCAAAACATTGAAAATTATACCAAATGCTTGGCAGGATTGTCATTTAGAATATATTTTTCAAATCTAAATCTAGATTGTTTTGTTCGCTCCTAGATTTGAGTTTTACGCAATTAGATAAGTGATATAAAACTGCATTGTTTTACTTCGAATTTAGCAATTTTCTAAATTTTTTTAATTATTATAAAGAAGTAATATTAAAGTTTAAAATGACCAAGAGTATTTCTTAACCTTTAATATAACAATATTTTTATAATTTAAGTACGAGCTAGATCTTGAAGGACTTTAATTTGAATCCATATGATTGTTTATTTANAATGACCAAGAGTATTCCTTAACCTTTAATATAACAATATTTTTATAATTTAAGTACGAGCTAGATCTTGAAGGACTTTAATTTGAATCCATATGATTGTTTATTTATAGTGCATTCAGGTCAGTCGGATCTTTACCATATTCAGTACGTTGTTGGTATTTTTAAAACAGTGCTTTTATGCAGAATATAAATAGTGTTCTTGTTTGTATTATAATTATACAGTAGTTATTTTGTGAGAATTTTAGTTTAAACTTAAAATATTTACAATGAAAAACTACATTTCCAAGTTATGAACTACATTATTAAAGTTAAAATTTTTCTAAGAGGTAATAAGGAGCTAATAAATATGGGAAATGGAAAGATTGTTGCATTTTTTTCATCAAAAATATATAACGTAAGCATGCCAGTAAGCGAAAGAGTAAATATGAAGAAACTTCACCGTTAAGATGTGTATAAATTGTGCACTATAGAAGGTCAAGTAGTATCGGACACCTAAGCTTCTCCTATGCTATAATATACTTTTACAGGTCAATTGGACCAAATCACACTCCATACAAAACTTCATTGTTTTATAAATACACCTGTTAAAACTTATTTTTCTAAGATAAAAGTATTAATTATTTTTTATACAGTCATTACATTTTTATCAATTTTACTTGTGGAGGGTTGTAAGGGACATAAGAAAAATCTGCAAGAAGAGAATTACTTTTGGTTTCACAAACAACTTTTTATTATTAGGCAGAATTAATTTATAAAAATACAAACTACAAATCGTAAAATTAAGTTCAAAAACCACGACTCCGAAGAGACTGGTGCCTAAAACCAGCGCCTTAGTCCACTCGGCCGCCCTAACCGAGAGAATTTTTAGTATTTGTTTTCCACTTTCTTTAAAGAAATCCAAAACTCCATAATCCCTCTTCGGTGTCCTATTGTTAAAGTATGTCACTATGACTTGCAATAGGTAGATAGAAGTCTTACAAAAGATGAAAAATTCTTACGTTATCATCTATTCAATCAAAGTAACTTTGCTTGATTCAACAGAAGAATGTAACAATAAAATGTCATTTCTTATAGTTTCTCTAGGAAAATTAACACAGAATATTTTGGGCAAATACAAAGTTAATATTGTACACATAATACAAGTGAAATTTAAAAAAAAATATTGAAATAAAATCCAAATAAAATTTTAAAAATTCAATTTATAAATAGTCGCGGATATATTGGCTCCGTCTTTCGTCATTGTGGGCCTGACCAAATCAATAATGGTTATAATTAAAACGGACGTGTTATTACTCACTGCGGGAAAAGTTTCGGAAATGCCCCAGTTGTCATTAGGTTACGTATATAAAATAGTATTGATAACTATGAAATGATCTTCTTTCTAAAAATTTTGGAAATTGGTAACTTTCCATGATAGGATAAGTAGATAATGTTGGTAATGCAAACGATTCTTGAGGAATCTGCATAAAGCCATCTATGAAAACTTTCGAGGATCTTACTTGCCCTCCAATCTGATCCTTCAAAAATGATTCCATGGCTGGCGGAATCTAATCTTTCTCGACTTGGCATTACTCTCCTCTGTCATACTTCGCTTATACACCACGAATTTGCTATTTTTATACAGTACTAGCTGCAAGGACCCGCTTCGCTGGGTTTTTTATTTGTGGGCAAAAAGTAACGATAGTGAAGATTAAGATAATTACATTATAGCCAATCTTACCCGTTTTCACAGAATGCAAGAATTAGGCCCCCCGTTTCCAGACTAATTACAGAATTTTTACGTCCAGTCAAACGAACTATTTTCAATTTGATCAATTTTCTGGAACGTTTACAATCGTTCTATAATCGAACCAATTCGAATTCGAATACAAATTCGAATTCGAAAATTTTAAAAATCGAAACAGAAAATCTTCCACTTTCAACCACTTTCAAGCCCATATCTCCCGCACCATTACAGCTATCGAGACGCAACCACCATAGTGCACGAATGGATACTTGGGGCTACTACCACATACAAAGACCATTCACGTGCGATGTGTAGTTTTGGCTGAAAAGTGAAATATAGGGACACACACATCCAATTTTATATATATATATATAGATATAGATATAGTGGTAGAATTTGTTTTAACATCATATAATTTTTAATTTCAGTCTTATTGTACACAGCTGCTTGCGATCATATGATTTCCACCGAGTACTTCATAGCCTCAATAAGACATCCCAATTGTTTTGTAAGTGTCCCGTGTTTCGACTATTTCGGATTTCTTTCTGGAAAATGTACGTGTAACGCAAGCAACCTCTGTTCTGTTATGGGACTACATGCCGATAAATATACCTACAGAACGCCATTCAAGGGTATAAACAGAAATTTCTACCTCCAAACTGGTAGCAAATATCCATTCTGTAGAAGGTATGTGTTACATCGCACTGTAATTAGTTAAGCATGTCATTCGCAATTAAGAATTTGGTTGAATATTTATTATTTATTCTAAGTTTGAATCATTTGTGCTTCTGGCTACCATGTTCTATGGTATCATAAGTAGTATCACATAGACCTTTCTAGTGCAAGAAATACGTCTTACTGCATGAAACTTAGACTAAATATGTGGCCTGTATTTTAAAATTGATTNCTGTTCTGTTATGGGACTACATGCCGATAAATATACCTACAGAACGCCATTCAAGGGTATAAACAGAAATTTCTACCTCCAAACTGGTAGCAAATATCCATTCTGTAGAAGGTATGTGTTACATCATACTATAATTAATTAAACATGTCATTCGCCAGTACAATTAAGAATTTCGTTGAATATTTATTATTTATTCTACATTTGAATTATTTGTGCTTCTGGCTACCATGTTCTATGGTATCATAAGTAGTATCACATAGACCTTTCTAGTGCAAGAAATACGTCTTACTGCATGAAACTTAGACTAAATATGTGGCCTGTATTTTAAAATTGATTTAAAATAGAATTGATTTTGTTTTTATAATGTGCTTCAAAACTTGACAAAAGTCAAAATGTAGATATAAGTCTAGATAAAACAATCTAGACTTATATCTATACTGTACTGATATTATAAAGAGGTAATGTTTGTAAGTTTGTATGTAAGGGTAATCTTCGAAACTACTTATCCGATTTCAAAAATTCTTTCACAAATATTTAGAATATAACTTCAGGGTGGGCATAGGCTGTATATTATTCCGTTAAACATTCATATAAATTAAAAGATATCATCTAGGGTTAAGAATTTTATGTCCAACAGATGGCGCTACGAGTACGACCACATAAGTTTTCTTTTCTGTGAGGATGAACTATAGCAGATCATCTTCTATCTATCTATATAAATAATAATATAATGTTCGTTTGTTCCTACCGATTCCTTTGAAATTTTGACACAACATTGCATTTGAATATGCACGTGTTTTTATATAATATACGTGTCGAAATTCCCCCCACTGTGGGGAGATGGTCAAAATTAAGGCTTACCGTGAAGAACTTGGCTTGTATTTATACTATTTTACATGCGGTTTTTTACGTTTTTGATTGCGTTTTAATCGAGCACGTCAAGAGAATGTACACTAAGAAAGGATATTTCGAAAACTTTCCCCATGGGGAAAGTTTTATACATTTATAATAGATACATTTTGAACCACAACAACGCGTGGCGAGGTCTGCTAGTCACTTATATAATTGACTTTAAGTAAAATGGAGGTTGAAGAGCGCTGTATACGAGGTCAAAGTTACTCTATGTAATATATTTTAGCTCGATGACTGAAACGAAAAGACGAACAATGTTACCTTGTCATCCATAGGTTTATTTCTCTTGAAACAAAGTAATATACACACTATTAGCTTGTTGATTTACAAGGTATGCGTAATTTACCTTAAAAACACCAATTCTTCCATAATAACGAAAATACATTAGAAAATATATGGTTTTATAATTAATATATTATGAATAACATATTCTTAAAACAGAAATAATTGAAGAAAAATAATACAAAGACTAAATAATTTCATAGCCTTCTTCTATGGTAGTGAAATTCCATTATTAATAGTTTATAAGTAACAGAGTTTTCATTCTATAATTGAAAATAAGTCTATTTTTAGCACAGTAAGGATAATCACTACTAGTATCTAGATAAAAGATGCCAGACGTATTCCGTATGAGATGTTCAAATTGATCTGCATGAAAACCCATGAAAACGCAAGGTGTTTCGTCGGAGCAACTACATCTTCCTGCTGAAAAATCCAAATAGCTACGGCACGAAACAGCAACGAAGCATTCCGGATATCTAATGGATGCGATGAAGAACTCTATAGCACGTCTATGATCGCATTCTATTTGAGGTCTGATGACTGGAAACATAACAAAATTAAAGTTCTGATATTTAATATACTTAAAAGAAAAATATTAAAAACTTATTCTTGGAATTGTTGATTAATACTCGTACAATGAAATAGATGAGAGACCTATCAAGGGAAGTGTGCTTCCATTAAAGATTTTCTATGGCAAACTGGCCCCAATTTAACTCATAAAACACTTCGTGACCTGCGCGCGTACTTGTCACCAATTACCAGTGTTCAATGATTTTATGCACTCAACACATTCCAATAAAATGTACAGTAATATCAGATCTCATACAACATCGAATTTTGCCAAAATATAAAAGCGTGTGTAAACTGGCATTTTCGATAATCCTGCACCACTCTAGTTCCATTGGATCCGACATATGAATGCTCGGGCGGTTATGGGCTCATTCTACGCTTTGGGAGTCTTGATATAGAAATCAAAAAGTTAGAAAATCTACTACGCTTTTCATGTGAACTATGCGGGTCGTCGTTTACCACACGGTCGCCACCCAATGTGGGCCTCATATGTGATTCAAACCCATAATGCTTTTGAACGAAAAAGGTTCACTTAGTAAAAACGGTTAAAAATAAAGCAATTTCCGACAGGATCAGCGAATTTCTACTGCAATATACAAAGGTGCCTTCTTGAAATATTTTGTTTTATAATCAAGATGAAAATCTATATTCTCTGGACAACAGTTACGTATTCTTCTATTGTGAATGACGAATCCGAGTTCGATTCATATTTCAATCATCACAATATTTTATTATAAAATGATTTTAATCACTGCTTATTTAAACATCCTTTACTGTATATTCGTAAATGACTAATTTTAGTCTACTTATACAAACTTCCTTCAGATCCTGACCGAATTGAGATAGGTACCACGTGAATTGCGAAATAAAATTCTAGGTGGGTCTAGCCATATACCATAGGAGCTGTACTTAATAAACACAATGAAAACACTGTTAAGAATCATTTACTTACATTCTAAGAAGGTCCTAGATTTTTTCTTTTCGCGCATAGTGTTACATCCCGGATGATTGTGACCTCCGTTAGGAAAGAAGTCGACATGGCCAATCATTTCGTTCGTCCCGAAACCTGAAAAATATTTCCAAATAGCCATAAATTATCGAAGACAAATCGTGCATTACTGATAATACTTAAGGATAATTTCCACTATTTATCTGAGAAAGAAAAAAACCGTCATTCTTAGAATATCTCGCGACAACAAAAAACTATATCATACCATATTAAATGACAATTCTACTAAAGATTTGATATACTTACATTGATAAAACTAAATAACATACAACAATTTTGGTAATTTGACACTGATTAAGGAGATTGTCGGTTTATTGGAAGTAAGGTAAATTCAACGACATATAAACGAAATTGAAAGCGTGTAGTCAATTATTAACGACTTACTGATAAAAATACACGAGATCGCTGTCATCGCTGGTTTGTTTGGTTACACTTGGGCAATCTGCCTGGGGTGCCTTCCGGGAGGTCTTTTTAAGGAAAACTGACTCCTATTTAGGCGTTTCAGACGTGGAGAAAACCCGGAAAACTCCAGGTAGCCAGCACGTCCGAGCGAGGTGCGAACCCACGACTGAACTCCTAGTGTTCAGGGTACGAAGACCGGTTAGCCATTGGTGGGCCAGTCATCTCTAGTAATCAAGTAGTCAAGTTGTTGGACTTCCACTGAACTTGGGAGGAAAATAGAAGCCATCAAGGCAAATTTGGTGAAAGGTACGATACTTTTGGAGGGAAATTTCGCGGGGACCGATTTTTACATTTGTACAGTATTCTGTTTTAAGATAGTGAACCATTTTTCAACAGCCAAGGATGTCGAACTTAACAATCATTATTATCGACATCACGCTTTGTTTATTGGAAGTGTTCAAATTTAATAGAAACTGGAGTCTTAGCTAGTCTAAGCACTGGAGCCAAATCCTATAAAAGTGTCAATACCAGAGAATAGTCCAATTTTAGATTACTGAACATGTCGAACTTTTCAAACAACAAATTGCCGACATTCTATCGTATTGCGTACACATGCAAATTACTATATGCCAACAAAATATTTATTAAATATTCAGAACTCGCCGACGAAATAAGATATGTGACGAATGAATGGGAAACTTATTATACAGTACCTATAGTCTACTCACGCACAAGCATATTCCACAGAAGTAAGTTAAACTGTACTCTGTATATCACCAATTACATCTATGGTTAAAAAGTACAGTACACCACGTAAAGTTGTATGATTTTCTCGCGATATACATTCATTTTCATATGGTAGAGGGAGGAAGTAACCGGAAAAAAGCAGTTCATTATAGTTGTTTGTACTTGATGCTTCATATTTATAATTACAAAATATGTCTTTTATTTATTTAGCCTCATAAACGTTATTGTCAACATCTTTTATAGTGTTAAATCCACCTTCTTTTGAATAAATAAGTTACATTTATTCTAAAAGAATGTGCACGACACCAACTTTCTAAAATATGCATATATTTTAAATTTTCCTTAAAAATTTATGCAGGAAATACTTTTATTAAAACGTATACCTTCAAATATTGATTCGGCTGCATTCGTATGAATAACGTCGACAAACATCGCATCCGAAGCATCCAATCGAACCTTACGAGAAACGTTACGAAAATAAGCACCTGCCGGATCCAAACCTGAAGATATCAAACCAATTGTTAATATTTTACAGAAAATTTGGCAGAATCACATTCGAGTTACCAGTTATCCTTCCGACATTGCTCAGTCGTTTGCCCGCATATCCGCAAGCGTGTGCTCCAAAACTGTGACCGATGAGATGAAAAGTCTCTAATTTAGCGCCCTTAACGAGCTGCAGGATAAAGAACGTTCCTAAAAAAACTAATTTTCTTTATGGCAGGTGTGTCAAAATATTACCTGAAGACGTTTGATAAGAAATGCAATTTCTGCTCCCACTACTCTTATATTAGCCGCTGCTTGAGCGTACGATGCAAAGGTGCTTCCTATAAACCAATCCACAATAATCACGTTATAATCTCCGACAGAAAACAACTGGAGTGTCAACCTCTAAAACAACGTCATTTATTAAACTGAATAGAAAAATCGCACTTTCAATAATGCTAGAAACTAATTTACCTTTATCGAAGTGGTTAGAAGAATGCTATCCACATACCCATGAATTATAACTTTAGTTGGCAATTCAGAGTTAAATTTCGAACTCTCGATGGTTTCTATTTGATCGGGAATCAAAATCTCGTTGAACCAAGGATCTCGATGGGTATACAGAAGGAATTTGGTTCTGATAAACTCTCTGCTGTTAGGTAAGTAGCTGATCGGACGTCTTTTAGGTTGGGCGAAAGGAGGTCCCGTTTCAAAGCATCCCAAGTTCTTCATACAACGAACTCCGTTCCTAATGGAAACTATAAAAACATGAAAATTTTTTCTTATTTATATAAATTCATTTTTAAATAATACATTCCTTTTATTGGTTTTTAAAGCTATTTCAACGTATATTTATCTAAACATTTTCAAATTAGTATTTTTAAAAACTGTAAATAATAAACATACTGGTAACTTGAAATCCTGGTGTTCCTCCAGTGTAAGACCATTTAAAAATAAGCAAACAAAATAAAATGCTAGGGATTTTCATCTTAGATTAACCAGTTTTATCATTATTCTACGACTTTAATATCTCGAATGAAACACTTTTTCATTTATTTTTTTTTCATATTACGATGTGGACAAGTACATTGAACTTAATAATTAGGGTAAACTTGCCTAATTCGTACCCCTTAAGGAAAATCCATCATATTTTCGAAATTAATAAACAGAAATTATTTTTTATTTTAAGTAACTTTTATTTGGGAAATATTTTATTACTACCATAATCAAATTTAGCATAAATCTTATAAACTTCTGAGAAATAAACAATTTAAAAAATCACTAAAAAAGTACGATTTAGGACCATTCGTCTTAAATCGTACTTTGAGATCCTGTCATTGATTTGCAGTCTTAAGAATAAAAATCTTTAACTTCTTCAGTCTGTTCTTGCTCAGTAATCTGATTGGATTGTGCCACACACGTTAAAGTATCTGTTTGTTCTTGCTGCCTTTCAGTTGCCAGATTCTGGGAGACTTCCGCTGATTCACTTAGATTAGCATCTTTGTCAAGAACAATATATTCCTCATCCCCGATCTTAAAGCGATTGCAAGGCCACAATCCGCAAGATTCGAAGCCATGCATGTTTGTGTCCATACAAACGGATCGAGGATATGCTTTATTTTAAAAAAAAAAAAACAGGATGGTTTGCATCCACGATGTAAAGTATTGACCTTTTAGCAGAGAGTGAACAAAAGAGGCGCGACCTTGTCAATTGGACCCACGTGCGGTCTGATAATACCACTTGTAAGATGTTGACTTGTAAACAGAGGGAAAACAAAGGGAGCGCCGACTTTGTCAATTGGACCCACCTGTAGTCAGACGTTAAACCATTTGCCATATGGTAAACAACTGAATGTAAACAAGTGGCGGACGGGTAAGCTTCACTCTAGTCGAATGACGGCGAACCCGAGTGTAAGCTGTTCGGGCAAGAAAGGGTTGTGATTGGTCGGAAGTCCCGGTTTAAAAAACCCTTAAATTGCGAGGAGAACGATAGAGAAGGAGAGAAGGGCAAGAGACTGGTACACGGTAGTCTCGGGCACTTGGGATACCCGCTGAGCGTAGAGAGAGTGTTCTCCTCTGGTAAACATCTCAGGGACGGATTAGTGCGGAGACTGGACGGACCGTGTAGTTGAGCCAACTCCACAAGCTGACTGAGGCCTCTCCAAAGTTGAACAGTTCCTGGAAACAAATCTATGCGGAGGTGTTCTTTCCATCGAACCTGGATCACTACATCGAATCGTGATACACACGGAAACCAACTCAACGAGACGGAGGTTGGAAAAGAACTTCACTAAGATCTTCACTACATCTATGATTAAGAAAACATATCACGTAAAGTTATATTATCTTCTCGTGATATGCTTTCATGATCATGTCAGAGGGGGAAGTAACCGGAAAGAAGCAGTTCACTATAGCCATTTAGTACTTCATGCTTGATCTACAAAATTACAAATATATGTATTTTTGTATTGAGTCATTGCCAATTTTTTTATAGTGTGAAATCCAGATATTTTAAATAAATATGTCACATTTATTCTAAAAGAATGTGCACGGCTCGAACTTTAATCGGCAAGATTCTAAAATAAGCCCATATTTTAAATTTTCCTTAAAAATTTATGCAGGAAATACTTTTATTTAAAGCACCTACCTTTAAATATTGATTCGGCTGCATTCGTATGAATAATATCGACAAACATTGCATCCGAAGCATCCAATCGAACCTTACGAGAAACGTTACGAAAATAAGGACCTGCCGGATCTAAACCTGAAGATATCACACCAATTGTTAATGTTTTACAGAAAATTTAGCAAACAGTAAGGCTCAAATTGCACGTTATCCTTCCGAGATTGCTCAATCGTTTGCCCGCATATCCACAAACGTGTGCTCCTAAACTGTGGCAGATCAGATGAAAATCCTTTAATTTAGCCCCCTTGACGAGCTGCAAGACAAATAACATTCTTAATAAAGCAAATTTTCTATATAACCGGTATGTCAAGAGATTACCTGAAGACGTTTGATTAGAAATGCAATTTCTGCTCCCACTACTCTTGCATTAGCCACCACTTGAGCGTACGAAGCGAAGGTGCTTCCTATAAACCAATCCACAATAATCACGTTATAATCTCCGACAGAAAACAACTGGAGTGTCAACCTCTAAAACAACGTCACCTGTTAAACCGAACGGAAAAATTGCACCTTCAATAATGCTAGAAACTAATTTACCTTCATCCAAGTGGTTAGAAGGGTGCTATCCAAACACCCATGAACTATAACTTTAGTTGGCAATTCGGAGTTAAATTTCGAACTCTCGATGGTTTCTATTTGATCGGGAATCAAAATCTCGTTAAACCAAGGATCTCGACGGGTATACAGAAGGAATTTGGTTCTGATAAACTCTCTGCTGTTGGGTAAGTAGCTGATCGGACTTCTAGGTTGGGCGAAAGGAGGTCCCATTCTAAAGCATCCCAAGTTCCTCAGACAGTGAACTCTGTTCCCAATGAAAACTATAAGAATATAAAAATTTCTTGTTATTTATGAAAATCCTTACTCTTCAACACCTTATATACTAGGAGGAAATCATATTATGCGTGAATGATTTTAATACATTTTTTAAAATGCTTTTATTGGTCAAGCTTAACGAAATTTAGTGTGAATTACACACATCCCACATGATACTACATCACTACAGGCATTTACACGTGATTAAATTCTACATTTGGTTAATTGTATCGGATTTCGAAGTGGGAATGTAAAACATCATTAAAAATAAATTAAATAAAATCGTTTTAAAACAATTTAATTTCTTCTCTTTGAATGCCGCATTAGACCAATAAAAGTCACAACTATTTAATAGTAAATTAATATAGGTTCTCGTTTTCCATCAACAGACGGTCGCAAGCTAAGAAGCTGCCAATTAATTGTTTCCCAACAAGCAATACATTCGTACATCTATTCTGAGTTTTTAAAAGGGTTTGGTAGAATTTAACAGTTTAATTCCTTCCACAAATCTACTTTTGAATTAATTCTACACTTCAAATTAATCCACTGATCTAAATATCTTATAAATAATCATTAATTCATGCTTCGAATCATTAACCTGATTACGCTAACCACTTCTCTTGCTCATATTCCATGTTCAGCTTTATGTCACTATACCTTATATATTGTAGATGTTAAACTGCATTTTTAATAATAACACATTTAAATGCGTTTTTATTCTTCTTCCGAAAAATTTCTCATTATTTAGAAGTAGGACATTCAAACATAAATTCACTATTCTTTCTATAAGTTCGCTCATCAGTTACTCTCTTTACTTGACCTCTTAATTGCTTGCACATATAATAAAATAGCCTTAAGAATTTTAAATATTTAACTAATTACTTTAGTACATACAGAATTAAAACAAAGAAGTAAGGTGTCAAGTAATATTTGCAACTGTAAACCCTCCACCCTCTCTGAAGAACAATAAAAAAATACAATAGAATAATCCAAAGAACTTATATTTAACTAAACATTTTTAAATCAATATTTTTTAAAAAAGTAAGTGATAAATAATAAACTTACTGGTAACTCGAAATCCTAGTGTTCCTCCAGAGTAAGACCATTTAACAATAAGCAAACAGAATAAAATCCTAGAGATATTCATCTTACATTAATCAATTTTACGATTATTCTACGACTTTAATGTCTAGAATGACACACATTTTTCGCTTATTTTTTCCATGATTGATTTATTGTTTTTTATTTTATTTTATGTTTTTTTTTGACGGAAAGAAACAACTTTCTGTCAAAAAAAAATCCATAAAATATAAGTTATAGATGATCTTTTCCTCTTTCAAACATTCTAAAATTAATGACGATGATGATTCGAAATTTCGTGTATAATGATCCAAATAATTTCACGTTTCTATCTAAAAAACTTAATGGTTGTATATTCATAGAAGCGTGATAAAAGTATACTGTTATCAAGTAGTTACAACAGTCTAATCCAAAAAAGAAACTATTGATTTATTATTAGTACCGATATTCTAGAAACACCAAACTCCAATCGTAACATATAAGCTGGAATTTTATGGTATAACATAAAAATACTTCGAAGATATAAGGCAAAAACAATTTCCATTTTATTGTGATAAGTAATTGCCCATACAGAAGCAACATAAAGTAGTATAGTTTAAATTATTTTATATAAATATGAACAGATTTAATCTTAGTTTTTGAAAGAATAGGCCACATAGAACCTAGTGTCATTTTAGCCTTACAAATACTATAATTTTTAGCCTGTAAAAACAGTCCAGAAGACGAAAATAATACTCCTAGGTATACATAATTCGAAACGACTTATATAGGCTGTTTATTAAAAGACCATCTCTCTCTATCTCTCTCTCTCTCTCTGGGCGATTGTCTACCACCCTTCTTAAACACCATCACTCTTGTTTTTGAAACATTTATAGTTAACCCATAGTCACAGCAGAATTTTTCTAGAATTGTGATTTTCTTTTGTGAAATCTTTACTCTTGCAGTGGCTTTGGAGTTTATGTCAATTATAAAGACAAGAAATTTTCTGATCCTGACACCATCGAACTGCTTGCTCCTGACACAAAATATCGTATTTAATAATCCAATCTTTTAATCGTTTATTTAATAGAGACGTAAATAGTTTACCAATTACAGGAACCAAAGAATTACCCAATGAACTTTTACGTTTAAAACTATTAATTATTTGCCAACATGTTTATTAGCTATACATTCCACCAGATTGTTGGATGTTAGGTTTCCTTCATATTCATCTAACAAAACTTTATCCAATTTAAAAGCAAATGAAGATTTAAGTTCATTCTTCCATATTGCGCGTTTACCAGCATATTGTCTATTAAGAAGTCCTGAAGTTATCAAAGAGATCATTGAAAGAAAAATAGGTGAGTGATCGGAGTATCTGTTTTATAGATTATTTATCATATATGAATATATAGATACATAGATCATTTACAATATATGAATATATCAATATTCATATATTGTAAATGATCTATGTATCTATACACTATGACGAAATCAATTACACTGCCTCCCTTAGTTGCATGGTAAGTTAAATCACCTTCTTTATCTCCTGGTAGTAAACCATTTACCAAACAATACTATTATTCCCACAGAAATGATAAAGAGTTTTTCCTCTGTTATTAACTGTAGAATCCTTTGAAACTCTCAAAGCAACTTGCTGGTCTCGGTAAAAAAAGATAAGTAATTTAAATATCAATTTAACTTAGAGATTAAATCTGATCAGAGTTCAACAATTAAGCCACCACTGGGTCTTCCGGGTCCCTCACAACTATGAGGTATTTGAGTGCCTACCAGTGGCCAAGCGGTCTTTGTATCCTGAACACTGGGAGTTCGGTCGTGTGTCGTGGGTTCGCGCCTCGCTCGAACGGGCTGACCATGTGGAGTTTTCCGGGTTTTCTTTACTAGTGTAACAACCTAAATAAGTGCCTTTCCTCATAGAAATTCCTCTGATACCTTTGGCAGATCACCCATATGACGCGTTGCCTTATATAAATAATTATATCCGGGTAGAAGTGACCTGTTAACTCTATCCTGTTCATTTTCCATTTTTTATGCATGTTTAAAATTTTTACGTGCTTTTCGCCCGCCCTGTATATGAATTAAAGAGAATAATTACTGAGAGGAATTAATAGATTTGTATAGACTTACAAATACAGTGGTGCCTCGTATAACGTACGCCTCAAATAACGGACGCTGCAAACAACGGACTTTCTGTTTGGCCGTTACGTGACTCGAACAACGGACTGGCTGCAAACAACGGACTTTCTGTTTGGCCGTTACGTGAGGCGAACAACAAACTTTCTGCGAACAAGTGCGAATGATATTTTCACTGTTTTGCCGTTGCCAATGACAATCTGCTATTTTTATAATATATTAGTATTATTAGAATATATTATTAGTAGGCCTATATCTCAAGTACAGAGCTCCCGTTGGGATTCGGCTTGCTTTCTTGTTTATTACGTACATCACATCATCCGAGTGCAGCGTATTTACATTTATTTAAGTGTTGTGCAAATCATGGCTTCTAAAAAACAGAAAGGTGATTAGAAAGATGATTTCAATTGAAACAAAGCAAGAAATCATCAGAAGGAGTGAAAATTGTCGAATGGGGAGAAGTTCAGAAGTTTACAAACACTCATTATCCAAACACAGCTGAGGCCAACAGGATCAATGATCTCTACAATGACACCCTTGCCCGTCATTTCCGACAGGTGTTGAACAAGAGAGAGAAACCGACCACCTTGGACATGTTTTTCAAAAAGCAAGCTTCCAAAAAACAAAGGATAGAACAAGAGATGACCCTGGAAGCTACGGTGGCCTCTCCTGAATCTGACTCCGATTAAAAAACAATAAAAAGAGACCCGCTGCAATGTGTAAAAAGTCTGTATCTGTATGAATGTGTGAAGAAAGTGTTCCTCCACCTCCTCTTTACAACATCTAACTACCCGGCATAATTGGTGACTGCTCCATTTTTATTTTTTTATGGTACAGTACGGTTATTTTATGCTGTAAAACTAATTATATGTTTTAACATGTATTTCTATGGGAAAATGCGTTTCGTATAACGAACTTTTCACTTAACGGACGTGCACCTGGAACGGATTTAAGTACGTTATACGAGGCATCACTGTATATGAATTTTACATTATAAATATGATCGTTTTAAAAATAAATAGTATATCTTAATTGTAACACGAGCGGAGATAGTGCCCATTTCTTGGAGGTGCACCTCATAAAAATCAGAAAATCGAGTATTATGATCACTGATTTTAGAATATTTTTGATAAAAGTCGCCATAAAAACTATTTTATTCTCATTTAGCGTTTAAATCATAACTTTTGCTCCTCTCTGGCACACTCACTTTGCACATAACTGAAATTGTTTAGAGCTTAATAAATGAATTTCTAAAATAACAGCATACATAAGACATTTGACACATACAGCATAGCGCTATCAACCCACAGCGATAGTTAAAAGATGTGGAATCTATATTTCTACGCAAATTATAAGTGTTTATAGCATTAAAACATATATTGTCCGCCATCGACTCGTTGTTCGTACTTGTACGAGGACTAGAAGGCTCAAGTATGGATCAGACACACGTACGGTGTGGCATTATGGAGCTGTCCTCGTATTTCACGATAACAAAGTAACTCATACTAATATATTTGATTAAATGTCATGCTATACATAAATAATGTATTTATTAAATTTATTTGGGATATTCGTAAACTATGACAATAATACAATTTAATATAAAATTTCAAACAGGAGACAAGAAGAAATTTTTACATAAATATATTTATTGATAATTATAATTTACAATATAATACATTTTCTCATTCTGTATTTACCTCTTTAAAACAGAAATTCTTCCATTGTAAAGTTATGTATGAAAATATCTGTTTTTATAATTAATATATATTATCATTAATATACCCTTAAAACAGGGTTAATTTAACATAATTAATATAGAGACAAGATAATTTCATAGCCATCATTCGGCGGTAGTGAAATTCGATTATTAATTAATAGATTATTAGTGATCGAGTTTCCATTCTATAATTAAAAAGAGGTCTATTTTTAGCACAGTAAGGATAATCACTACTAGTACTTAAATAAAATATCCTGGATGTATTCCTTATTTGATGTTCGAATTGATCGGCATGAAAACCCATGAAAGCGCAAGGTGTTTCGTTGGAGCAACTGCATTTTCCTGCTGAGAAATCCAAATAACTGCGGCACGAAACAGCAACAAAGCATTCCGGATATCTAATGGATGCGATGAAGAATTCTATGGCACGTCTATGATCGCATTCTTTTTGAGGTCTAATGACTGAAAATAACAAAACCAATGATCTGATAATTAATATATTTCAAAATGATAAATGGCACAATGAAGTACCTTGACAATTATTGGAAATTAGAAATATAATATGGTCTGTTTCATTGGATAAGGCAATGAAACACGTGGGCAATTTGCCAAGGAACAGGTTGCTTCCCGGAAAGTTTTCATGAGAAACTAGTCTCCATTTAGGTATTATACCACTAAAGGAAACCCGTTGGTGAGGCGCGTATAAGCAACCCAACTACCGATGTTAGTGATTTCATCCACTCGACAAATCCCAATCAAATGTATACTAATATCGGATCTCATACAACAATGATTTTTTCCAAATATTAAAATCGCCTGTAAACCGGCATTTTCGATAATCCGGCACCACTCTAATCCCATGGGAACTGACATATGAATGCCGGAGGTTAAGGCTCCAGTCTATGCTCTGAAGACCCGGAATCGAATCTGGGCATATAACCACTTGTAGTCGATAGATATACTGGTCCTTGAGCTATGCTCTCAAGTAGAGTTAATGTATCCAGGTTTTAAATAGAGATTTGTTATGAATAAAGATTTATTCATGGCTTACTAGACCTGTCCTTTGTTTATATAAGCTTAAAACTTCAGTAACTTATCTTTCTTTTAGACTCCATTTCATCACTAATCACTGTCAATATCTAATAATACTGTATGAACTGTTGCAGCCTACATTTACCTATTTTATTTGTCAACCTCTAACTCACCATCCTCTAATTACCTCTTTTTTATCAGCTTGTAAAAATGTTAAATATGTTGTCTAAATAGTTTGAATTTCCTCTTTTTCCTCTGTATTTGAAATCCAAGAACTAAATCTACTAACTTTTAATCCCCCTCTCTAACCTGTTCCTAACATTTTTTGGCTCAACTTTAATCTCTATAATCAGGGATGCACAACCTTTTGTGAAGAAGGGCCAAATTAGGATTAAGTTTACTGACTAGGGGCCGGACCCCCAAGCGATTAATGCAATGGCTGAGATTGGATGCTGGCGGCAATCTTCTTTATGTCTGGTGTAATGGCAGATGTTGAAACAACCAGTAGATTTTTCAAATTCTCGTTGGTTAACCTGTTCCGTGTTTTGCACTTGTTTAAATTCATAAGCGAAAACTTGCAAGCTTGTTTGGCAGTACCTATGTATGCTTGTTTGCATACATAGGTACTGCCAAACATGCTTGCACAAAATCGAGCATTGTCTTTCAGTTTTGGAAATGATGTATCTGGCAGTTCTTCGTAGAATGTGAGGAGATTAGAATTTTTAAACTGTGATTTCAATTCATCACTGCACTAGATGTCTATCAACTCAAGTTGGACATCTGGAGGGGCATCTTCCACTTTCACATCAAATGGAGTTGAAAAAAGTTGCAGGTAGATCTTGTATTTCTGGAATTCACCAAACCTCTCATTGAATGATGTAAGGAGGGTGTTAACTTGGTCAGAGTAATCCATCTTCATATGTNTACGTAAAATATATTTAAGAGTTTACGACCACTGTGCCGGGTGAGACGTTGTTGAAACAAAAAAAGTTATGCATTCCATCACGTACATAAACAGTGTCGTAATTCGCCAAGTGCAAATCAGCAAATACGTAAAATTTTTGTTTATTTTGAACAATCCGGATAATCGAAAATCCGGATAATGGAGGTCCGGATAATGGAGGATTGATGAACTCCAAAGTTACTCTAAACCCTAAATCTCTTTTTTTGTAACACTTTAAATCTATTCAATCGTAATACACGCGTTAAATTTCTATACATTTCCATAATTAAATGTATATAATTCTCATCATTCCCTTTTCTTCCTGATTCAGAGAGTTCTCGAGAATCCCGAAGACATCCCATATTAATAGTGTATATACAGGCTGAACTATAAATATTTTACTACGTTTTCTTCCCCTTAACGAAAACGCCCAAAAATATTTTAAGGATCAGTATATCAATCGACTCTTCTTGTACTCAGCATTACAATGCTTGTACTCTACAATGAAAACCCCATTAAGAATCATTCAACTTACATTCTAAGAAGGTCCTAGATTTTTTCTTTTCGCGCAGAGTTTTACATCCGGGATTATTCTGACCTCCATTAGGAAAGAAGTCGACATCACCAATCATTTCATTCGTCCCAAGACCTGAAAAATATTTTGAAATAGCCATGAAATATCGCGTCACTCGTTATACAAGCTATTTATAAAGATAAATTAGCCTTAAGATATGATTTAAGGATAAATCACAGCTTCACTGGGTAGCATCACTCTAATGTGTTGATTAATAATAATTTTACTGATAGCAGTTTCATCAGCTTTCACATTCTTCAATATGGAAGCTGATTAAGCTGTTACTAATATACTGTAACATATTACCTGATCAACATGGAATCAAACATGAAATCAATAAGATTAATCATAAATAATTTTAAAATTCTTCTTAATTATTATCAATAATAACAAAGGAAATGCCACATCATGCTGCGCAATCTGCAACAATCAAGGTATTACAATTTAATTTCCACAATGGTCGCTTAGTTTCGCCCGTGACATGATTACATCGAAATGACACATGCATTCATGTTCGAATACTTTGATACGTGCGTATTTCTCAAGCAAATTTAGTTATTAATTTAATTATCTATAAAGAAAATAATGTTTATCTGCGTGTAACCTTTGGTATAAAAATTTGTGAGCGAAGTTTAAAGCAACGTGTTAATAGTAAATTTTATGTGAAAATCGGCAAATGTGTCAGAATTATTGCAAATGGCAAATGGTGAAGATGCTATGAAATCATCAGTGTCTTCAAGTAGCATATGAGTACAAAGACGGGTAAGATGTGATAGATGACCCAAAGCAGCTGATATTCAACAGAATGAGTTCCAAGCTGCTTCCAGAAATGGGGCGGCCGTTTAAGTCAGTGTATAAATAGAGTAGTTTAAAGGTGACGATGTCAACTAGTGTACAGTTGCGCATGTATATTTTTTAAAGGTGCATTCTGGAATTAAATTCCCACACCTTTGAATTGCAAATCTTTATTATATAACTTACATCGATATATCTAAATAACAAACGCGTTAATCCCACACTGTTCCTGTGTCGGGATAAGGAGCTTGCCAGTTTATTGGAAGTAAGGTAAATTCAATGGCACAGTGTCGAGTTAACTATTAATGATGCAGCAAAATACAAGCTACACGACTTACTGATCAAAATATCCGAGAGCGCTGTAATCATGGAAAACTTAGTGGATAGTATAGTGTTTCTGGTGGGAAATTTCGGGGGATTGATTTTTATACTTATACAGTGACGTGTTCTAAAACTGTTCTGGTTCGGTCGTATGTCGGGCCCACTAGCGGTGTAGTAAAGAATGAGTAAGTGAAAAAAAACGTGTCTGAGCTATGAGAAATTGTTTGCTCATTTTTTAAGTTTGAATATGTGAGAGTACCATTTAACAATCCACTAACAATAAGAGCATCAACCATCTTTCAGCAGCCTAAGATGGCGAACTTAATAATTATTAATATGGATATCATGTCATGTTTAGTGGAAAACTATTCAAATTTAATAGAAACTGGAGTAAAGGGAAGCTTGTCAAGAATTGGGTAGCTCATGATACCCGAGAGACGATCAGTGCCTGATTACTGGACATGCCAAACTATCGAACGATCCGATTATCGGAATTGTACTACATATGAAAAGCTTTCACACACATACAAATATGCATACAAAAAGTTTATTTAATATTCAAAACTCGCCCACGAAATAAGATACGTAAAGAATGAATACGGCACTTATTGTACGGTACAGTACCTATAGTTTTCTCTCTCACAGGAGTCATATCAAACACACCATACCAAAGTGTCCTTAGGATTTAATCACCTGACGTACTGTACGTCAAAGTACAGAAAATAGCTATCCTAAACACATATCGACGAGGCAGATAAAATACCAGCCTACCTCTCTGGAGGATTTGGAAATGACTTCGAATAGATCGAGATATCCCGGGAATTTTTTCGAGGGTGTGTCTAGATTATGTCATCCTCCATCCCACAGAAGTAGTCTGGCCTGTATACTGTATATCAGCAATTACATCTATGATTAAGGAAGCATATCACGTAAAGTTGTATCATCTTCTCGTTATATGCTTGCATGATCACATGTTATCAAGTATCCGGAAAAAACAGTTAATTTTAATCGTTCTGTACTTCATGCTTGATCTACGAAGTTACAAATATGTCTTTAGTTATTGAGCCACATAAACGTCATTGTCAACATCTTTTGTAGTGTGAAATCCAGATTTTTTGAATAAATATGTCACATTTATTCTAAAAGAATTTGCACGACACGAACTTTACTCGGCAAGATACTAAAATATGCCCATATTTTAAATTTTCCTTAAAAATTCATGCAGGAAGTACTTCTATTTAAAACACTTACCTCTAAATATTGATTCTGCTGAATCCGTGTGAATAATATCGACAAAAGTTGCATCCGAAGCATCCAATCGAACCTTACTTGAAACATTACGAAAATAATGACCTATAGGATCCAAACCTGAAGATATATAGAACCAACTGTTAATATTTTACGGAAAACTTGACAAAGATTAAGACTCAATTTACCCGTTATCCTTCCGAGATCACTCAGACGTTTGCCTGCATATCCACAAACGTGTGCTCCTAAACTGTGACAGATCAGATGAAAATCCTTTAATTTAGCTTCCTTAACGAGCTGCAAGACAAATAACATTCTTAATAAAGCAAACTTTCTTTATAACAGGTGTGTCAAGATATTACCTGAAGACGTTCCATGAGAAATGCAATTTCTGCTCCCACTACTCTTGCATTAGCCACCGCTTGGATGTACGATGAGAAGGTGCTTCCTATAAACCAATCCACAATAATCACGTTATAATCTCCGACAGAAAATAGTACGCGTGTCAACCTCTAAAAGAACGTCGCCTGTTAAACTGAACGGAAAAATTGCACTTTCAATAATGCTAGAAACTAATTTACCTTCATCCAAGTGGTTAGAAGGGTGCTATCCAAATACCCATGAACTATAACTTTAGTTGGCAATTCGGAATTAAATTTCGAACTCTCGATGGTTTCCATTTGATCAGGAATCAAAACCTCGTTAAACCAAGGATCTCGACGGGTGTACAGAAGGAATTTGGTTCTGATAAATTCTCTGCTGTTGGGTAAGTAGCTGATCGGACGTCCTCTAGGTTGGGCGAAAGGAGGTCCCATTCCAAAGCATCCCAAGTTCTTCAGACAGTGAACTCTCTTCCCAATGGAGACTATAAAAATATAAAAATTTTTGGTTATTTTTATAAAGCATTCCTTTTCTACACCGTTATTCCTTATATATTGAGAGGAAAATCATAGTATGCGTGAATGATTTTAATACATTTTTTTAAAATGCTTTTATTGGTCATGTTTAACAAGAATTAGTGTAGATGTTAAACTCTATTTTTAATAATAACACATTTAAATGCGTTTTTATTCTTCTTCCGAAAAATTTATTATTTAGAGGTAGGGCATTCAAATTTAAATTCACTATTCTTTCTACCAGTTCGCTCGTCAGTTACTCTCTTTACCTGACCTCTTAAATACATGCACATATAATAAAATAGCCTTAAGTTTAGTTAAATATTTTAAATTCTTAAGTAATATGACATACAGGTCCGCTGTAAGCGGGCGTGCAAGACGTGCACCGCACGCGGGCAGCACGTCCAGGGGGCGGCAAATCGAGAAAACCAGTCTAATGATCTACAAACCCTATTACAATAACTTTTTACTAATGATTTAATGTCAACATTTTTGAACAAAGGAATAGCACTAACTTACATTGCCGGTTTCAGTTGCATTTGGTGAAAGGTCCTTTTCAAAGTTAAAAATTATAAAAACTATTTAAGATCAACAATGCACCAGCAAAGACTAAGTAATTTTACTATAGTTTGAACTATTCTCACTTCCTCAGCCGTTTACTTACAAATATAATCAAACATCAAACACTTGCTGAGCTTATTATTACTGTTGAAACGTTTTCAGCCCACTTCTAATAGGCCATCCTATTAGAAGTGGGCTGAAAACGTTTCAACAGTAAATAATAAGCTCAGCAAGTGTTTGGTGTTTGATTATATTTGCTACAGTTTCAATTGAACATGAAATCTTAGACAGCAAGGATACAAGAAAATTAATAGCAGATTTCGCAAACATAAAGGCAAGAAGAGTTCAATTTCTGTAGATAAATATTTATATGGTTTTATACTTAAGTATACAAAAATAACTTAGTAATAACAAATAGTTTTTCTTTGTAAAGTATTTCTTTTCTTTTTTCACACCCTTATGAGACAATTCTAAAGAACCTTTCTGGAAAGCTCAGCATAGGTAGTCGTAGTTAAACAGGGGACAGTATAATCGGTATTGCACACGGGCGTTCAAACAGCTAGTGGCGCCCCTGATGACACATGTTACTAAATAAATATATTAGTTTACAAATACTATTTTATTTAATAACTAATTCTGAGTTCCTCTTGAGAATAACCAATAAACATACAACAATACAATACCCAATCTGAATTAAACATTTTAATTATTTATCTCTATAATTACATTATATTTTAAATATTTTAGTACATATTAAATTAAAACAAAGAAATAAGGTGTCAAGTAATATTTGCAACTGTAAACCCTCCACCCTCTCTGAAGAACAATAAAAAAATACAATAGAATAATCCAAAGATTTTATAATTATTTAAACTATTTTAACTTATATTTAACTAAACATTTTTAAATCAATATTTTATAAAGTAGGTGATAAATAATAAACTTACTGGTAACTCGAAATCCTGATGTTCCTCCAAAGTAAGACCATTTAACAATAAGCAAACAGAATAAAATCCTAGAGATATTCATCTTACATTAATCACTTTTACGATTATTCTACGATTTTAATGTCTAGAATGACATACATTTTTCGCTTATTTTTTCCATGATTGATCCTTTCTAATCCGTCAAATCAAAATACAACTTGTAGATGATATTTTCCTCTTTGAAACATTCTAAAATTGATGACGATGATGATGATTCGAAACTTCGTGTATAATGATCCAAATAATTTCAAGAAAATTGATGTTTATATCTAAAAAACTTAATGGTTTTATATTCATTGAAGCGTGATAAAAGTACATCGAACTTGGCCACAACGTAAAACACTTTATTAATTTAAAATGCCCTCGACTAAAGTATGATTAAAGGGGTAATTAAAGAAGGATAAGGGATGATTCACTAATTACTTGTGATAAAACAATAAAACGTCGAAGTAGAACAATCTTATCTTTATTTATTTTCCTCCAATTAGAAATCACAAAACATTAATTCTAGAATAAATACATAAATTTAAGGTTATTCTACAAATCAAATTGGTAGAGGAAAAGGTAAAATAATAAACAAAATTAAATTAAAAAAAAAAATTAATCTACTTTATTGTATGCATGTCAATAAACTGTGCTAAAATTCAAGATTTTTTTAGATATAATCTTTAAAACAATCGCTAGAAATATTCCTGAAAGTTGTTTAAAATTAATAAAATTTCTGTAAAAATACTCCTAAATGATTTTTAAAAGAGTTTTCCTGCCACTTTCCCCATAAAAATTCCTCTGAGGTGTCATCCTCCCCTTGGCAGATCGCCCACTTGACACGTTGCCGTATACAAATAATTATATCTAGGTTGAGGGGACCTTTCAATTCAGACCTATATACAGAGAGGGCTCCAAAAATATATCCTTTTACATAAAAACACGACTCGAAATGTTCACTTGAAACAGCCGGGTAAATGTCAATGTCAATTTTCTGGCTTTATCCACACAGGGTGGTCCAAAAGTCAGTTAATCGTGCGTTCTGTGTATTCCGGGTATCTTTGTTGGATGGATCTCTTGTTCTTATTTTGTTTCTGCAAAATATAAAGAAAATCAATGTCACAATTAGGACAATTAAAAGATCCTTTCCAAGAGAATATGAAATTATATCTCAGTGGAGATGTCCTAATTTTTTCCGATACTTCTCTGAATATTAGGATTAGTGTCATTTTAACAAAGCAGTACTTTTAATCCCGTTAAACAGACCTACATTTATAAATTTCCTGAATGTTCTTCAGATAATTATATGGTTTAAATCTAAAAAGTAGGAAAAATCATTGTAGTATATTAGAAAGAATCATTTGTTCTTCACAGGATTCATTAAGTTTTTAATGTGTTTCGGCATTTGTGTCATTTCGGATCCATTGACAATTATAGTCGAAGAAAATATGTTTTTTTTTATTATTATTTACTTAAGAGCATGAATTTTTCATGCAATTAGCTGAAATTTCACTATATCTATTGAATGTTTTATGAAAATTGGTTTGGTTTGCAGGGTACCAACGCACTATGTTATATACCCATAACCTCTACTATTATAAAGGACATGACCTGAAATGGAGTCAACTAATACCAGTAGAGGATGGGGAACGAACCCTTTACTGCTGGTATCAAAACACACTTAAATTGCTCATTTAAAATTCATTGCAATAAGGTTCATTGCAAGAGCCATTCATTGCTTGAAGGCTCATTACAATGAATGGCTCTTGAAGTCTCTGATGAACATTTCTTAAAATGGTTCACAGCACTCGTAAAAGTTTCTTCAACTGTTAAATTATTTTATAAAGCCAAATTAACCACATGGCAGAGTCTGTTTTTAGAGTATTCAGTGCTGTAATTTGCTTCAAATCGTATTTATTTAACTAGGAAAATCCAGTTTTAGATAAGATTTACCTATTCTAGATCATTTGAGGATGAAAGCACCTGACAGAAATTGTAGACAATATCAAGTTTCTCTTTCATATTCAAGAAAAAACACATGATCTATTTTATAATTCACTTATTTTTTATTTCATTGAAACTTAAGTAGATCAAGAAGATTATATCGTGAAATTCTGAGGTATTTGACCAAATTTAATGGAATGAAAATATCTATGAAGCATAAAATATAGAAAAAAAAATGTTTAAACAAACACTCTTTCATGCATTATATATTTCTTCAACCGCATCCAGTAATAAATTTGCATAAATTGGTGCTAAATGTGAAAAGTTCAGCTTCCTCTTCAAGATCTATTAACTGGATGAGAGCAGTAAAGGCCACTACTGGATACAATCTTCATAGGAAATGGCAAAAAGAAGACAAATTGCCTTACAAATGTTTTTATTATCTGAGGTACCCCAAAACAGGATCGCAATCCACTAAATTTACTCCTGGCAACGGCTTAGTTTCAGATGATCACCATTTTGGGGTCTAAGACCGAATGTAAGCTGTGACTGTTAGATTTCAACGTGTGCTGAGATCTCAGGACTTCATATGTGGATGCTGCAATTACCACCACTGAATTCTGTGGCTGATGCAGTTGGAAAAACTGAGACTGACCCTGTAGATTTTCGGATGGGAGGGATGCTTGATAAATATCTTTGCTCTCAATTTCCATTCTACTCCATTACCACAGGTCTTTAATATTCTCAAACAAATTGTTAGGACTTCAGACTGTCAAGATTTATTTAAGAGATTCAAATAAATCTGAAGCTCAAAGCAGATCCCATTAAGCTAATGATGCTTAATGGATTTGCTTTGACTTAATAAGTATAAAAATAGGTTGACACATCAATAAAGTCACATTGTCGAGCTGTTTAGAAAGAATATTTCTAGCCATATATAATAATAATAATTCACAAAGTAAATTCCGAGTAACGACAGAATGGAGACGGGGTCATCGATACAGATTTAAATAGATCTTCGTGATGTATACCGTTACGCTGTAGTAAAAAGTATGCGACACTAGTCTAACGTTGACATTTAAAAAAATGTTAAACATTATACGGTTGAAGTCAGTAATCCATTTTTGGTTTATTAGAACTGTGCATCCAACAATAAAATTGTTTCATTTCCCCTTCCTGAGCGCCATTTTTGACTGGAAGATAAAATATTTTCAGGCTATTAATTTATCAAAATGGCAGCTTAATGATTGTATTTGCTATGTTACAACATTAATTAAGTAAAAGGATCCAACTCTTTCACAATTGTTTACCTTCTACTAGTTGCTTGGCCTTTGACCTATTAATTTTCAGTTTAATAATATAATATGTCATCATCATCTTTAAAGCATTCTTTAAGATGATGATGATGATGATGATAATACATTATTCTATGGTATAAAATACAAGGGAAAAAACATCTTAGGAAAACTTTAAGATGTTTATGCCCATATACAAAGAAATACAATATATTTATTATATAATTCTAAACTTTTAAACATCCTGTATGTTAGATAATGATAAATAATTCATTATAGTTAGGTTTAAAATCAAAATTGCTGTCTTGAGAGAATGAATGAGGAGGAATTACTGAAGAGGGTATGCTTAGAAAAAGAATGGAAGGAAAGTAAAATGGAACAACCAAGAAAATCCTAATTAGTGTAAGTGAATGGACATTTGAAAGAACAAAATATTATTTACATCAGAGATGTGAGAAAGTGTGTAGGAAAGAGATGAAAATGGCTGAGAAGAAATAGGAATGTCTTGAAGAATCTGATAAATGGACAACTGTATATGTATAATTCCTCTTGCCTTCTGCCCCCTTCTGAGAAATGGGAGTGAATTATATGCAAGTATGTATGTAAATACAAAGTTTTAAGCATATAGAAAGTAGTAAGGTTAAGATCTTACTAAACAGGAATCACTAATAATGCAAAAATTGAGTCATTGAAGACATTTACATTAGAATTGTTTATTTAGTTTTGCTTTTATGATTTTTCAAATAGTATAGTTTTTTTATTCTTATTTTGTACACATTTTCCTGTAGTTCTGATTGTTATATAATCAACAATAACCTCATGGCATTCGAAATTATAAATAAAATTGTTTGCAATAATAGAAAATTTTTAACTTGGCTAACAACATGAAATGAAATTGTAGTGTATTAAGTAACCTAAAATGAATTCTTGACTAGCTGATTCTCATTTAAATAACTGTTAGATATTAGAAAACATTAAATCAATAATATTTCTAAATACTTTTATTCAAATGCTCTTCCACTTATGGCCCATTCTCAAACACATAAAAGCGGAAGATTTCACTTCTATCTATCTGCGCCTGATGATGGTCCATTAATTTGGTGAAAAACATTAGTGTTTCTCCAACCTTGCCAATTACTAAGCATTACTTACTACTTACTCCATTATATCAACTATAATGACTTGTTCAATTCTACCATGCTATATAATGTAAAAATACAGGCAAAACTATAAAAATTAATGTGGAATATAAATAGTCCATATTTTATATGCATAACAATAAACACAACTCTTTCCACTCTTGTCTTCATATGTATATATATTTTTAATTCTAAGAAAAATAATGAGACTGTTTTCACATAGTTTATTAAAAGACAATTATATGAAGTTAAAAAATGTTCGAAAAGTCTTAAATCAGTTTCATAATATGCATTTGAAATAATAAAGACTGTTTCTAGTTGAGTAATTTTCAATTGATAGTATAGTCAGAAAGAAAAATTGTTTTTACTGAAGTTTTTTCTAGAAATCAAGGCCATAATGTTTTTTATTTTTAATGAAGCATGTCTTCAGTTGTAGCCTATTCATGTGGAAATTATATAAAAAAATAACCTTTACTTATCAGTAACTTGGGTGATTCTTATGTGGTTATTCTTATCCTCTCATTTAATTAACTGCTAAACAAGCTGTAACTATTAGAAATATATTAATGTAATAATTATATTTTAAAATATTTAGTTAGAAGTCTTATGTTCTAACTTACTTAATTTGTTATAATATAAAATAATTAATTAAAAAATATTCCCTAAACTTCAACGTTGCAATAACTTGCAACCCTCAACATTCAGTTTACTAACTCCAAAGTGGGTCATTAAACTGAATGTTGATAACAGTAAACTTTTGTATTACATATTTTGCAAATGACAATTATAAAATCAAAATGTCTGTTAACTCTAAAAAAACATTGAAGATGCTTTGCATCCCACAGTATCAAATATTCAGAGATTTAAATTTTTTTATAAAAATATAGGCGATCCCCATATAACACAGTTGATTATTCCGTTTTATATGAATTCCATGTTACACGAGTAACTTAGATTTTACAAATACGTGTGCTGGGATGTGAATGGCTCATGTATTTGTAAAATCTAAGTGACTCGTACAACATGGAATTCATATAAAACGGAATAATCAACAGTGTTATAGGGGGTTGACTGTAAACAAGTACATCCACTTCGTTAGTTTGCAAATTTGTTTTTGTCTTTAATAAATGGAAATAAAT